TCAGAACACTGTAGGAACCTTGCAAGTTTGCAGGCCTCTATCCTGCCCCTGAGATCCTGGAATAAGACAACACTCAGAACCCCAGGAAAGCAGCAACAAGACGGCCCAGACATTCCCTCCAGGGGCGCTGCAGAGGAAGCAGGCCGAAAGATCGGGCCAAGAGGAAAAGAACCTCACCATAACCAATGGTCATGGTGGCAGAGGAACAGGTGACATAAAGACAGAAACGTGACTCGTATTGACAAGCACCGCCCCAGAAAAACACAGCTTGGGCACAAACTCAACCAGAATTTCTGGAAGCGTTGAAGCAAGAGTTAAACATGTTTATAAATGGACCGAGAGTGCACGAGGGGAAAAGAAATGGAAAAGAAATGGAGAAGAAATGAGTGATGTGGAAGAAAGAATTAAGGAGGTAACAGCTTGGCACAAGGGGTACAAAACCTTGGCCAAGTGACAAACTCTCTAAAACTCTGAATAGACCAAATGGAAGCCACAAGGCAGTAATAAATATTAAAACAAATTCTAGAGGCTGGGGGAAAAAAAAACAGAAGAAAATGCAAGGTATATCATGGTAAAAAAAACTCACATAGAAAAGAGAATAATGCAATATTTAAATATCACTGGACTATCTGAATGCCATAAAAAAGGAGCCTAGACATAAGATTTCTTTTTTTTTTAATTTATTTATTCTTAGTTTTCAACATTCACTTCCACATTATTTTGAGTTTCAAATTTTCTCCCCATCTCACCCCTCCCCCCACCCCAAGATGGCATGCATTCTGAATACCCCTCCCCTAATCTGCCCTCCCTTCTATCTCTCCCCCCCTTCTCTTATCCCCTTCCCCTTCAATTTTCCTATAGGGCAGGATAGATTTCTATACACCATTTCCTGTATCTCTTATTTCCCAGTTGCATGTGAAAAAAAAATTTTTTTAACATTTGTTTTTAAAACTTTGGATTCCAAATTTTCTCCCTTCCTCTCTCCCCACCCACCCTCATTGAGAAGGCAAGGCAACTTGATACAGGTTATACATGTGTAGTCATGTAAAACACTTCCAAAGTAGTAGTAAGTATATTTCCCTTTATCCTATCCCACCCCCCTTTTATTCTATTCTCTCTTTTGACCCTGTCCCTCCTTAGAAATGTTTGCTTCTGATTACCCCCTCCCCCAATCTGCCCTCCCCTCTATCATCCCCCTGCTCTCTTGTCCCCTTCTCCCCTATTTTCCTGTCGGGTAAGATAGATTTCCATACCCAATTGATTGTATATGTTACTCCCTCCTTAAGCCAAATCTGATGAGAGTAAGATTCACTCATTCCCTTTCACCTTCCCCTGTTTCCCCTCCATTGCAAAAGCCTTTTCTTGTCTGTTTTATGTGAGATAATTTACCCCATTCTACCGCTCCCTTTCTCTGTCTCCCAGTATAATCCTCTCTCACCCCTTAATTTTATTCTCTAGATATCACCCCTTCATCTTCAACTCACCCTGTGCCCTCTATTTATCTCTCTCTCTCTCTCTCTCTCTCTCTATATGTATATATATATATGTACATATATACATATAATCTATATACATACATACATATAACCTATTCCCTCCAACTACCCTAATACTGACTAAGGTCTCATGAGTTACAAATACCATCTTCTGGACATAAGATTTCAAAAAATCTTAAAACTGCCCAGATACCTTACAACCACAGCACAAGGTCAGAATAAACCACAGACCACTTCTTAAAAGAAATCTCTGAATGAAAACCCCCGAGGAACATCATAGAAAAACAGAGAGCTTCCAGGTGAATGAGAAAAATTCAGTAAGCAGTCAGAAAGAAACAATTCAAGTGCCAAGGAGCCACAGGTAGAATCACACAAAATTTGGCAGCAACCATAATTAAAGAGCATAGACCTTGGAATAGGATTTGCCAGAAGGTAAAGGACATGATCTTATAGCCAAGAGTAATTTACCCAACAAAACTGAGTATAAATTTATAGGGGGAAAATTACCCTTAAGGAAAGGACATCCAAGCCTTCTTTATGAAAACACTATAACTGCAGAGAGCTTCTGACGTGCAAACACAAGTGAAGAGCAACACAAAAAAAGTAAAGAAGGATGAACTAGTCCAAGGGACTAAAAAATATAAAGGATAAAGTACTTATATTCAAATATGAGGAAACGATATGTGTTCCCTCTGGTGTCTCAGGGCTCATGGAGGGAATTCAATTAGAAAAGTCCTGGGAGGGGTTCTGTTATGTCTTGATCTTAAGGAAAAGATGGAAAGAGAGGAAGAGGAATACACGAGGGTGGGTGGATGGAAAGAAGGATTAGGAAATATTGTCTCATATAACAAGGGGGCACAAGTAGACATCTACACCACAAGGAGGAGGGAGTGGGTGGGAGCATCGGACGCCTGACCCTTAGTCATCTAGTCAGAGGAGGGAAGAGTGCATACAACACAGAGCTGGGTATAGAAATACATTTTACTCACTAGTGAAAAGGAGGGAAAGAAGATAAAGAAGAGGGTGAATTAGAAGGAGGATAGATTATGGTAGGGATTCGGCCTAAGCAAAACAAATTCAAAGGATGTATAAGAATATTTACAGTTCTTTTTGAGGTGGCAAAGAAAGGGAATTTGAGGGATTGCCCATAAATGGGAGAATGGGTGAACAAAAAAGGTCCATAAATGTAAGGGAATACTGCTGCCTTGAACCTGAATTAGCACAGTGACCAACTGAGATTCCAGGGGCCAAGGGTGATGAAACATGCTGCCTGCCACCTAGAGGGGAAGGGCTCAGGTATAAAATGAGAAATATTTTTAGGGCAGAGGCATTGTGGATTTTTTTTTTCAGATTGACTACACATTGTATTGTGTGTGACGAGTTTTGTTTTTCTTCTGTTTTCAGTGTGGGGGAAGGAGCAGGAGGATGAGAAGGTGGATCTTGGCTGATACAAATGTGTCTGTTCCTATCTGTGTGTATCCACACATTGGAACTCTGATCAATGCAATGATCAATCAGTTCCTAAGGTCTCACGATGACATACTGCCAACCTCTGGATAAAGAGGTGACACTCGGAGTGCTCACTGTATAATTTTCTTTAGACATAGCCAGTGAGAAATCTTCTTCAGCATGACTACATATATTCTTGTAATAGGGGTTAGTTTTTCTTGTTTTCTAAATTGGGGGAGCAGGTGGTGAGTGGGAGAAAGGGAAAGGAGAGAAATGAAATTTCTTCTATACAAAAAAAAATCATATTTAAAAAATGAAGCAAAAAATATCTCTTCCCCCCCACCCCCTGACCCAGATATTCCTGACTACATAAGTACAAATAAGATGAGGAAGATAAGATACCTGACTTCCAGGGTTGGTCGTGAGGATCAAGTGAGACATTGTAAGGGGTTTAACTCAGTGCCTGGCACTAAGTAGGTGGTTAATAATAAATGCTGGTTTTCTTCCTTCAGCCAGGTTTGAAATTAGACTGACCACTCACTTGATGGCTGTCAAAGGTAGCACTCTCCCCATTTCTGAAAGGGTCACTATCTCCTGGAGTTCTGGCCTTCCCCTGTCACATTGTTAGGCCAGTTTGTTTGGTTTTTTCCCTGAAAGGTAACAAAGCTCTCTCCAGGACCCGACTAACATACTGGACAAAGGCTCCATGTGCTTCCCTTCAGACAGTATTCGCAGGGTCTCTGGACAAATTAGTGTGGCTGCCTGGCAACCTAAAGGCACAAAAGTCTACCCATATGAAATCAGGGTCCTTCAGATACGGCAGATTTCCCCAAATGGCACACTGCCACACCTTGCTCTGTGACCAAATGAGCTCCCGCATGGAGGTGAGGGGAGCCTTGTCTACTCAAGCTACAGACCTCTCGCATCCCTATTGAATGTCCTTTTTGTGCTATACTTAAGTAAAGCTCCTTTTACTCGTTGAATGACCTAGGAGTGTCTGATTTTTGCTTAACATCTAAACTGGGTACTGGCTTGAGTCAGTTTCTTCCATTACTCCCTTCCCAGGTCAATCTAGAACCTGCTCCAGCCTAGAGCAGAGTCAAGATTTCCAAAAAACTGTCTGAGGTACCTTGACACACTAACTTGACTCTGTCAGTCCTTCCTTTTCTCCTCGTTGCTCTCATGGTCTCTGCCAGTGCAAGGCACTCAGCACATGGAAGACCAAATCATCCCACCAGGAAGCCAATCTGTATAGTAATATGGTATGCAGTGAAGCTAGTCCTGGTGCCCAGCAACAACAGAGGCAAAGGTGAGAATCCCAGGAGCCTCTTTTAAACAGCAGAGAAGCCATCCGTCATTCAATCACTGTGCCAGGACAGGTCTTAGAAACACAAGAGTAGCAGGATGGCCCCAGAGCTCTCTGTACAAGAAATCTTGGGCTTACATATCTAGGGCCTTTCTAAATCTTCTTGGCTCAACCTAAGAACTGGTGAAGCAGAAGGATTCAGAGAGCCCTAGGAAGGCTTGTGTGATCTGAGGCAGGAGGACATGAGCAGCACCAGGAGCACAATTTCTGCTCTGATGACCGCACTGCAAAGGACAAGAGCTGGGGGAGCCTTCAGGGCTTGGCTCCAGGCCTTCCCAGGCAAGACTCAAGGTGAAGGGTTTTCCTGGACTTTGAGCTGCTATAAGTGAGAGCTTGGCCACAAGAAACGGAGAGGAGGGAGTGCTAGGCAGGCTCAAAGAGAGCAAAAACATGTGAAGAGGACATCCTTGTGAGTCAGGTGTAATGAGGGGACTTAAAAACAAACAGGGGAAGGCAGCAATTGGGGGATGGGGCAAGTTAGTGCTTGAGATGCCAAAGTGTCAATGAATCAGTTTAAACAGAAGCAGAGAGCAGGGCAGTGTGGTTATTACTGTGTTTAATTTCATGCCTAGTTTTGTAAAGAAGCGATCCATAAGTAAGATGTTTTCAGCTTCATAGACCATCCTCTATGTCTATGGAAATGACCTCCATTGGGAGGTTGGTTAAGTCTGTGGACAGACTGCACTCACCTGGGGTGGGGGGCTTCGGCTCCCAGGGGCCATTCCCTCTGGCTTCAGGCTCCGTGCTTGTGCCAGGCCTTGGTCCTCTGCAGACTGAGCTGGGCGGGGAGAAGGATCCCACAGGGGGAGAGGTCTTTCTCTTCTCTTTCTAGGCATCAGGCTGGCCTACAGAGAGTGAAGCCCCAGAGGAGTTACAAAGGCCAAGAACCGGCTCTCAGGGGAGAGACTCTTACCTGCAGAGGGGAAGGAGAACGTAGTTAGGGTCTGGTTTGGAAATAAAGATGGTTCCATTCTCTTACTCCTTCTCTTCTACCCTCCTTCACTCTCCCATCCTCCTAGGAGGCAGAAAGGGCTTTGAAATCCCAGGTGGGATGAGGTCATTCAGAGCTTCAATGACCTGAGTCAGAGCTATCCCTCCAAATGGTCCTCTGTCCTCCCTGCATCCCCTCTCCCCAGCTCACACACACAGAATCTGGACCACAGACTGACTGCTTGATCTTGGAAGGAGGGGAGCTAGGGAAGGCTGGGGAGGGGGAGGGCTCTGGGAGGTGGCTGCCAGTCATGACCAGGGGAAGCCTGAGGCTCGGAGACCCAATCCTGTCTGGGATGCTGCTGCCTGGCCTGGGACTGAGGGCTCTGAAAGAGAGCTTTAGTGCCTAGGTGCAAGATGGGTGCTGGGGCAGGCAGGCAGGCAGGACTCCTGGTTCCTCACAGGGTGTGTTAAAATTGCATCTTGTCCTGGTCCCCCTGATCACCCCTTCCCCTCCTAGTCAGGAAGTTTAGTAGGAAACAAGATTTCGAAGGGGAACCTGACAGTCATGTCCAAACTGTTCCAAAGATCAAAGGAGCGTGACTTAGACATTGTATCACGAGTTAACCACATTTCCCATCCTAACAACATGTGCCGGGCAGGGGCTGCTTGTCTGGGTTTCCAGAGCCCACGCAGACCTGGCCGGCTCCAGAGCAGCACGACATGCAGAGGAGCTCATCGCTTTGGGATGCCCATGAACTAGCCCCAAGGTGGCACAGAAAGGTGCTGGTCTCTCCCCGCCAGAACCCTATAAAAAGGGACCTCAAATTCCACCCCCCCACGTCCCCGGATCCAAGCTGCCCGGTGCTCTGGAGAGGGGGGGAAGGCTCTCTGCCCTTGCCCCTCCCCCATCCCATTGCTTCTCTGTAAGCCTCACTCTCTCTACCCCTAGCCCTCCCCACTTTTCTCTGCTTGTCCCAGAGCCTGATTAAAGTGAAGTTACTCCCTTTCCGCAGTTCCCATTCCACATTTCATAAATTAAATACCTATTCACTTAGCGTTGTGAGCAAGAGGGTCCACAGCTTTGGCGGCAAATGAGCCAAGCGCCTCAAACTCTTGGGAATTGTATCCGGGGGTGGAGACCGTGCCGACCTTGCGTTCCTGTTTCCCAGAGGCCTCTGCACTGCCTGCTATCTGGGGCCCGGCCTCAGCTTCAACCTCTCTTCCCATTCCCCTGCCTGAGTCCTGCCCCAGCCCCGCCCCCTAACCCCTCCCTTTCCCCCTGCCCAGCCTCCCCTTTCCACCCTCCCCACCATGGCAACCAGGAAGAAAATGTTGGTCAGAGGGGTGATGTGTCCAAGGGACTGGTGTCGCAGGCTCCAAGCTGTTTTTTGGCCATAAAACAGTTTGGGGGGTGGAAAAATTATCTTCTCTCGCCTCCCCCCACCCCCACACACTCAGAGGGAAAAGAAATAAGGTGGGCGTGGCCAGGCTGGGGGGGGGGGTGCAAACTCTTCCTGTTATATGTGATTTGTCCCATTGGGAGAAAAGCCCTCATCACAGATTGGGAGAGACCAAGCCAAGGCCTGGTGGCATCATCACAGATAACAAGAATATCTCATCAGGGACTATGAGTGTTTTCACTGATCTTTTCTTCTGGATTTTTCCAGGCAAAACAGCAGGATTCCTGCAGGGATCCTGTGCAGTTCTGATTATTTTTCTTGCTGTGATTTGGTTTGGATAGATCTGCAGACCTGGTGGTGCATGCTGCTGCTGGTGGTCAGGGGACCCAGGGTGGATTGTGTTAATATTGAATCTTGTTCTGGTTCCCCAGCCACCTCCCCCTCTTCTAGTCAGGAAGTTTTAGCAGGAGATAAGATAGCCAAGGGGGACCTGGAAGTCATAGGCAAATCATCCCAAAGATCAAAGGAGCAGAATTTCCAAATTGTATCATATATTAACTAAAATTCATGTCCCAGTGATATGTGCTGAATCAGGACAAACCGTCTAGCTGCTGCTTGTCCAACGCTTCAGGTTTCTTCCCTTCACAGCTGACATAATATGGACACAAGCGCTTTTCCTTATTCTGAAGATACTCTATTTTTTAAAGATTAACTAATTCCAATATTAAAGAAATTATTTGGAATAATAGGCAAAGAAGGTGTCTCCCACATCACCTAATTGATTCCAAAGTTCTTCAGAGAGACCTTGAGAGTGACTGTCTTGGCATCGCCTGCCTTGCTTGAGTTCTCTGTCAAATAGCTCTTTAGGCAAATGTAGGTTTGGCATTCGAACAACCTGGCTGGCCCGTGTTAGAGGCGCTCTCTGCAGTGCAGTCTGAATGCTTGGCAGAGTAGCTCAAGAAAGGACCTCGGTATCTGGTACATTATTCTTCCAGGTGATCTTCAGAATCTTCCTAAGACAATTCAAATGAAAGTCATTCAGTTTCCTGGCATGGCTCTGGTATACTGCCCAGCTTTCACAGGCACACGACAAGGAGGTCGGCACAATGGCTCTGTAGACCTTCAGTTTGGTAGTCAGTCTAATACCCTATCTCTCCCAGACTTTCCTTCAGAGCCTCCCAAACACTGAGCTAGCTCTGGCAATGTGTGCCTCAACCTCATTATCAATGTGTACATCCCTGGAAAGTACACTGCCAAGGTAAGTGAACTTATCCACTGCATTCAACATTTTTCCATTTGCTGTAACCAATGGCTGGCTGGTGGAGAACCTGTGGAGCTTGTTGTTATTTGGTGTTAATCGTTAGGCCAAAATTAGGACAAGTAGCAGAGAACTGTGATCCATACTTTGTTGAGTCCCAGCTTCAGACGCTGCACTGAGTGCACAATCATCCACGAACAGAAAGACATGCACCATTTGTCCCTCTAATATAGTCTTGGCTTGCAGACTGTTAACAGGATTTTTACTGAGCCAGTCTCTAAGCTGAGAATGCTGGGAGCCACACAAAGCAGGCCTAGAGACTGCGGCGCCAATAATCAAGTAGTTTAGTTAATCACTTTCAAAGCGAGGAGTGTTCTCTTAGCTGAAGTAAAAGCACTGGTTATATACTTAAATCACGAGTGTGGAAGGAGGGGGAAGGTGGATTACAATGGTTAGTAGTTTCCCACCAGAAACCCCTAAGTCCCATAACACAACGATCCTGGAGTTGTCTTTAGGGGTGGTGACTACCTCCCCTAAAGTACAGAACCAGAGTTCCATGAAAGGAACAGGTTTGACAACCTTGGATTCATTTCACTTAAGGTCCAGTGATTGTAAGCTTTGTCAGAGTTTTGATTTATCAGTTTAGGCTGCACTGTGAGCTCTGACTCCATAGCCAGAGTCAGCTCTTGAGGAAACTAAATTATTAGTATATTCATTACATACATCATATCAATTAATATGAAAATTACGAATTTTTTTCTCAACAGAATGGGCAGAACCCTCTTCTTGGCAGAACTCCTTTATCCCCCATCTTGTTCAAGTGTGGTCCTTCTCTGTGACCACTGAGCCTCATCTGAGTGGGATGCCTTGCAGCTGAGGGCACTGTAGGGGCACTGCTCCCTTCTTGGGAGGCCAGCTACTTTCTCTATATATACCAACCAGCCAGGCCTCTGAGGGGCTCCCAACTTTAGCTAACAGGGCTCAGGTGCAGAGGAGCAGGGAACTGGAGCCATAACAGTCTGAGAGATTGAGACTCCTCAGGGACTGGAGTATAGGACGGGTTGGTCCAGAATGAATTCAGAGACTCAAGCATTCTTTAAGTCAAGGTGGCAAAGATTTATTGTTTCACTACATAGTGGGCAGAAGTCCTTAAGGAATTATGCCATAGTGGACAGAGCTCCTTCGGGAACTTGCAACCTAATAGGAATGATGCCAAAGCTTGTATAGGAAAAGCAGTGGACTATGTGCCAAGTATGCTAATTAGGTGGTTGCATACAACCTTGGGCACAGGTGTCATTCTCTACTAGAAACCTCAGGGAGGGGTTTCCTAAGGGGTATGTTTTTGGTCTGTTATGTCTGAAGCAGGATAGCTTCGGGAGCTGACGTCTATAGCTTGACCTCTGGATTATATATGGTAACTGTGGGCATCAGTGCCTGACAGTTCTGCTGGTACGAGATACTCCTGTTCATACAATGGAAATTCTACAGAGGTCAGCTTGTTCTTGTAACAGGGAGAGAAAGTTTGCCTCACTGGGCCCACTCATGAGTTATTGCCAGAGATAGGGGTCCTTGGTCTGGAGGGAAACTGTCAGAGATAGTGTTTCCGAGGCCAGGGAGAAATTGGGGTCCAAGCACAGGCACCCAAGCACCCCATCAGAGCCATCCATTCCATGGGGGTGGGTCAAGTGGACTGGTGGGGCCAGGGCCTTCTCCTACATCCCAAGCCCTGACCTTTCCCTACAGGGAGCCCTTGGGGTGAAAGTGGAGGGAAGGCCCAGAAAATCTCCAACCATCCTCAAAATCAGTGAGTGACATTCCATCGGGCATTTGGTCACTCTACAGGCATGATCTGTGGCAGACCCTGGGCCAGTTGCTGGGCATACAGGTACCAAGAATGAAACCACTCTGCCCTCAAGGAACTTCTATTCTACTTGGGCAGTGTCCAAGAACACGTGGCAACCATCAGCACAATCCTTGTACGTGGGAGGCTGGGTGGCTGGGTGCTGGCAGCTGTCGGTTTCATGAAGACCATGGCAGGGGAAGGGCAGAAGAGGAAGGAATGAATTCCAGGCCAAAGGGATGGCTGGAGCAATCAGCCCCTTTAAATGGCCCCTTTGGAGATCTGGAGCCTCATGCGGGGGCCAGGAACAAGCAGTGTATAAAAGAAGGTGGAATTCGGGGAGCAAAAGGCCTAGCAAGGCCAAAAGTGGCTGGAATCCATGCTGCCCTGAGGCTACCTGTCATGGTCCAGCCTCCTCCTGCTCAGCAGCCCCCCTTCCTTCAGCACCCCCTGCTCACAGGCTGTGTCTGAGACCCTTGCTGATCAGCTCCTCCTCACGTGTGCTGACTTGGGACTTGACAACACTTAGATGGGGTTCGAGAACCTCCCGGTTCTCTTACTCCTCTGTTCACAAGCCTGACTGACACTCCTCCAGCCCCTGCTTAGGAGGTTCTTTTTCATGCGTGGACTGCCCAGCCTTGTAAGAGACTGCAGTGATGCTCTGGTTCATCTGACCTTGATCCCCTGCTCACCCCACCCCCTCACAGGAGACAGAATAATAGAAGTGATGTAAAAGCAAACAGTGCCCTAAAAGCCGAAAGCTTTTTAAAGAAACAATTTTTAATTAAGGGTTGTTTTTCCAGCACCTTGTGAGGCCCCTCCGGAACTTGAGGGCATCCTAGAGTCTCTTTCCCTTATCTTGAGATACCCTAAAAATTCCTTGTCTCCCTCATCCTGAGTCATAAAATTTCCCATCTGCCTTATCCTGGGTCCCCTATCCTGCCATCCATCTTCCTCATCCTGGGTCATGACAAGCCCTCCCCTCATCTTGTAAGATAAAACACAAAACTACCCCTTTGTAAGTCGCTAGTCCTCTTTCCAGGGCTGGCCGCTGCTTTTGGGCCAATAAAGCTCCCAATGGTTGCAGAGAAGGTCTAAGTGAATTCTTTCACACCTGAACCAGTTCTCCCAACTCTAAATCTCAACGGAAGTGGCCCCCAGCCCAGGCCCCATCCTACAGGAGCGCACTGGCCTGTTCGCACGCAGGCCCGCACGCAGGCCCGCACGCAGGCCCGCACTGGCCTGTCCGCACGCAGGCCCGCACGCAGGCCCGCGCGGCGGCCCAGCGCTATTACACCAACAGCTTCTGCAGTTAGCGAGAGCCGAGCTTCGGGGGTAAAGGTGAAGGCCCGCAGCTGGGCCCTAGTCCCGAAATGAGAGGCCTCACAGATTCCCGGCGGCCTCGGCCTGAGCCACACCGCGTGCCGGGCTTTGCCTCCTCCCAGTTCCCGCCAGCCCCGCGGGCTATACTGTTTCACGGTGGTTCCATCCTCCGCCCCTCCCCCCTTGCCCCGCGGATACTCGACGGTCCATCCGACCGAAGCTGCAAACTCATTGGGTCTCCCTTCCACACCTCCGCCCTCCACGTGGCCCAGCAGGGCGGGCCTAAAGAGCCTGAGG